CTTGGAAACTGCCGCTCCGAGACCTGCTTGGCATGACCCTTGTCGGTGATAGCCCCATTCGCCTGAAAAAAATAACATAAAATTATTGTACTACCTACAGATTTGATGACGATTAGGTTATTTTTATTCGTATGTATAAATAATAACAATAATAGTTCAGTTTTAAAGTAAAGATGAAACCGCGTGCGCCATACAAAATCGCTTTTTTAATATTTACACGAATTTTGGAAATTTTCTTCTGCTAGATGTCCAAATTTGTTCAGTATTGTCTTCAGCGCCTTTGATCCATTCAGCCAATTCTTCAGTTTTTTGTTAACAATCTACTTTCTAGGTTTGCTAAAATGCATGCGAAAATTTCCCGTCTGTCATCCATGTTTGTGTAATTACGACTTTCTAACTACTAGACCTTAAACACTATTTAAACACAAAAATTAGTCTCAAAGAAAAGATTCCCCTTCGCCAATTAATCGTCACAAGGCAATAATAAATTATTTACGACTTTTAAACTTAAAAGCATGTTTGCTGAAGACATGTGCGGCTAGAATTACGACTCAGCAAATCTAAAGGGCAATTATCCCCCGTCCTGTCCACAGCAGGTCGAAGGTGGCGCATTATGCTTTTCACTCATCATCACATTTTACGGCGTGTAAATCTCCGGGTCGACCGTCAACCAGTTTGCATGCCATTTTCCGAAGAGGGGTGCCGTGTACTCAGTGACGCAGCGGAATTCCATCCCTCCGGATTGTCACCTAAACGGCTCAACTTTCCAGCTGTTCAGCCCATTTCCACAGACGTGGAACTAACCACTCGGGCCGACAAGCCGTTAGTCATGGAACCGATCGCATACCGGACAAATAGTTCACGGTTCGTTCCCAAATTTTCCTCGTTGTCGAGACGCCTAAATGTAATGTCGCTTCAGCATTCGTTCCACTTAGCTATTTTGTCGAGTGCGGGTGGTTCACAGTCAAAAAGCCGACCTTTATGCTTAACAAACGGACCAAGACGGAGTTGGCTTACTTATTCCTTATCACGTAGAGGACGCGTGTGCACGGCTCTTCCGTTTTTCAACTTGGGTGGCTTTCATTTATCCCTAAATAAGATCAGTTTTTATCTTACTGTTTAACTAACAAAGAAAATAATCCACTATTTTTTGTAACTGTTTTCACGAAATAAATGAAATTCGACGTTTTTCTACCATAAAAGGCACGTAATTATTCTTGACATCGGGAGAAATCAGTAATGTCTCCAGTTCGTAGACCTCATCCGAGTCTAATAATCCTCTTATAACTGCAGGCTCATTTCTTATTAGACAAAGAGACTATGGACGAAAAACGTGTACGACCGCGAATTCAGAAAGCCTAACAGAACATCCGTTAATATTTACAAAAACTTCAAATTCTAAAGTTTGTCAGTTTGACAAGGGTTGATTAATCTTGAAATAGAACGGATATCACTGTAACTCAAAACTTAACTTTATATACTATCAAGACGACGACCAGTGTGTCACGGATTTGTCCCAATTTTTTTTGCTGATTCTGCACTCCAAAATATCCGACACTTCTTGTGAAGAGGCCCTGGCATCGCCAATTTTTTTTTAAAGTTAAAATTTTCTGTTTTTTAATATTTTTATTCAGCCTTTCTACTTGCTCAAATGAACAATGTGAATATATCAGTCCTCTCTCTAGATTTACGAGGACAAAGATAATTAATAGATAAACTAGACTTAACGCCTGCTAAATTCTATAATCAGGTGGTGTACAGGATCACATTATGTTCGTAATTTTTTCTAACAGTCGCTTTAGTGAAAATATTTTTTTTAAAATTTATTTGTTACCTATATAGGATATGTACTATACAAATATGTACACATGATTCATGTATCACACAGCACAACACTAACACTAATGCCAGCACTGCACCGGTAGAACACATGCTTTGAGGAGCCAGCCGTTGCTGGCACTCAGTGTATATGATTAAGGGTCAAGGAGGTCCCGAGGCCATCGTCGGTTGTGGGTCTTCAGGATGGGAATGAGTGGATAGGGCTCGAGCAGTATGGTTAGGATGGTTCGAAAGGTTTGGAATCTATACCGGATTAATTTGTCCTCAAAAGGAATGTTGAGGTCTTTGTGGATAGTGAGGATACTGACATAACAGGGTGCTTTGACAATTTGTCTAAGGACTTTCGAAGGACTGGATGCGCTGGATATTGGAAGGCTTGGCAGTGCCCCACAGTTCCACTACGTATGTCCATATTGGTCTTAGTACAGGTATTGTACAGTGTTAGCTTTGTCTTAATTGTAAAAGTCGATTTCGGTCTTAAAAATGTTCGTAGTGGTCTTGCATTAAGTTGCTGTTTTTTAGGTCCGGATTCCACGTCATTCTGCTGTCGAGATATAGTCCCAGGTATTTGACTTAAGTGGAAACTGGTATGTCTTTGTTGTTGATGTACAATGGAGGGTAAGACTGCTTTTTCAGCGTAAAAGTACACTGAGAGCATTTTTCTGCGTTCAGTAGTGAGAATATTGTCCATAGTTGTTATCCTCTGTCTGAAGCCACACTAATGACTCCTATGACTGATAATCCCCTATGACTCCCTCATAAAACTTATTTTGTTCAAATAAACAAGACCATCAGACAAAAATAACACAGAGACCAGTTTTCTTAGATCAACGTACTGACGGAATTTTTCTTAACGCGGATTTTCAATGTAAAATTATAACTTTGTATATAAAAAAGTGATTTAACGTGTTTTGACTGGTCGTTCTTCTGTTACGATTACGTGATCCGAATCCCGACGAACATTACGAACTTTAGACGGCCCCAGGTAGGATGAATAACAGTTACAAGTTTATCAAACTAAGTTCTTAAATTGTAAAGCCCAATACGTATAAGTGACGTGACAGCTTGATGGCATGCCCAGGAGGCTTGACAGAAATGAATCAGATTTCAACCCTAGGACATCAGCTGAACACATTGTAATTTTTACAAGTTGGTTGTTTTGTATGAAACATCGGTTGTGAACCTCCCTCGAACGAGCCGTTGTAACGTGTATACAAAATAAACATTTCCAAAGACAGTTTGATTCCTAAGGACGATAGACATAGAGAAATGGAACATGACGAGAAGAAACTCGCCTCAACGCAAATAAACAGCGATACTTGACGGACAGCTGGCTTGAACCGTATGCAAATTGAAAACAAAACAGCCAGTCGAACATTATTTGTACTTCTTATTATTGTTGAATAAAACTTGACTGTTATTATAACAATCGGTAGTTTAATCGATCACTTCGGCCTGTGTTCAGTGGTCATCATTTTCCAGAACCCGATTGGAAATCTCACAATTTGACAAAATGTAAAAAGAAAAACTTTTTAAAGCATATTAGTAAGAGAAATTATACTTGTAAAGAATAATTTTTTATCACGAAATGTTTACTAATGTAAGAACATTTTGAATAAAAAAAAAATAGTGTAAAAATCGTGAATAAAACTTTCTAGAAATGAACAAAATTGCATATATTACAAATTTATTATGTGGAATTTATTTTTCATCACTGGCACTTAGTATGAGAAATTGTACTTGTAAAGAATTATTTTTATAACGAAATTTTTGCTAATATAAGAACATTTTGAATTTTTTAAAAATGAAACAAAACGTCAATAAAACTTTCTAGAAATGAACAAAATTCATATTTTACAAATTTATTATGTGGAATTTATTTTTCATCACTGGCACTTTGTATGAGAAATTGTACTTGTAAAGAATTATTTTTATAACGAAATTTTTACTAATATAAGAACATTTTGAATTAAAAAAAATGGAACAAAACGTCAATAAAACTTTCTAGAAATGAACAAAATTCATATTTTACAAATTTATTATGTGGAATTTATTTTTCATCACTGGCACTTAGCATGAGAAATTGTAATTGTAAAGAATTATTTTTATAACGAAATTTTTACTAATATAAGAACATTTTGAATTAAAAAAAAAGAAGAAAAAAATGAAAAAAACGTCAATAAAACTTTCTAGAAATGAACAAAATTGCATATTTTACAAATTTATTATGTGTAATTTATTTTTCATCACTGGCACTTAGTATGAGAAATTGTACTTGTAAAGAATTATTTTTATAACGAAATTTTTGCTAATATAAGAACATTTTGAATTTTTTAAAAATGAAACAAAACGTCAATAAAACTTTCTAGAAATGAACAAAATTCATATTTTACAAATTTATTATGTGGAATTTATTTTTCATCACTGGCACTTTGTATGAGAAATTGTACTTGTAAAGAATTATTTTTATAACGAAATTTTTACTAACATAAAAACGCTTTAAATTAAAAAAAAAATGACGAAAAAAGTCAATGAAACTTTTTAGAGACGGACAAAATTTGATGAAAGTGCCTTATGTACCGGCATCAGGGCCGTCTACTCGATTTGGTCTCCTGGAAGTTCCTCACTGATGATGGCACAAAACCGAAACGCGCTTGAAGGACTAGTAGACCAACTTTAGCAAGCAAGCCTTAGTTATGTTTTTGACCTAAATAAATACATACAATTCAAAAGAAAAAGCTTCACTCCTTCTAAACCATAATTTTACAGTTTAAACCCGACATGAATAGACAATTTGATATCGATTTAATTGAATATAAATTATGGCCTCTCCGTTATGTCAGTTTAATAAAACATTCTGCGAGTAGTTGCTTGATTTAAAGCCGGGTTAAACGGGCTGCGGTTTCAATTAAAAAACAATTTCAGGACCCCCGGGTGCACGATTCGAAAAAAATTTATTAGTTGAATATGTTAAATGTTCTCTGAGGTGGGAACCATAGCAAGGATCGTTAAACTCACATGGCATAATTGATCTGAAAATTTATTTTTCTAATCAAAAATCGTTCTTCTTTTTATATCAACGTTGTGTCAAAACAGTCTAATCAACAATTAAAAAATCCCTCATGAAAACATGTTTCTGATAGACGTTACACGCCTTGCGATATATCGGGTGTGTAGTAACAAAAATAAATCTCATATATTTATTTTTTGTGATCGTAACAGTTTTTTTGTTGTTTTTTTCACCCGGGTACAACGAGTACAAGACAGGGGCTGACTTTGATCTCCGTTTCCTTCCACGTCCGCCCCTAACCGTTTCCGGTCCATAGATCAACCCTATCTGTACACGCGAGTCCATCAGCCCACACTCGGTATAGAGCATATAGGAACAAATTGACCTTCATTTATGTTCGTTTCGTGGTATTAAGTTTGACTATTTTTAAGATGTGTAGCACCTAAAGTAAGCTGAAATCTACCAAAGTTATTTTTGGATTTTTTTTACAATATTAAATATTCAATGGTCATACAGGCAAGATTCTATTTAAACAAAGGTATTAACAAATTTATTATAAATCTATTTTATCAATTTTCATTGAAATCAGTTATTTCAAATCAATTTTATATATGCACAAGTCTCATTAAAATAAATAAATAAATACTAGCAGTCTGTGATACTGATGGAGAAGAAAAATACTATCAGACACGTCGGGTGGATAATAATTGCAAGTCAACCTACGCGGACGATACCGCAGTGTTCGAACCCAAATCCCATACTCTCGCCAATATCCAGGAACAAGTCTTGAAAAATGGTACACAAATGGAAGATGGATGATATTTAGTGATTTTTGGTGGCCTTGAGAAGGGCCGGTGTTTAGAGGAGCTGTCGATGAGATTCAGATGACTGGTGTAGATGAGCTGGAAGCTGGTTGTAGGAAAAGTCAGCAGAGAGCGAAGGGCCTGGTGCAGCTGACAGCCATATCGGCTGGTGAGAGTGCGATGTGCGCTGAGGATGAGTGCTGTTGAGAAGGACCTTCTGAGAGCTACGGCTTCGGTTTGCGGCTTGCTCCGTTAGTGAGTGGTCAGATCTAATTTGCATTACATTATATACAGAGATGCTACAAGTTCATTGGCAGAAGCCGGAACCATTGTTAAAGAATTGGCTACGCTTAATGGAAACTTTAGTTAAGTCACCGCAAATAACCATCCACAAGGATGACAAATGTACTCACCTTTATGTAAAATAACAGCCTTGCCCTAGTCTTCTAGTCTATACGCTACAAAAAGGAATTGCCGACATTTGCACAAATGAAGTACTTAGACTTTGGACTATAGGGGACGCAGACTCCCTCACTAGGCTGAACAGAAGACTTAAACAAACAACTAATAATTCCGCTAGGACCAAATCACTGTTGACTGTAACACAACGATAATTCGAACTTTTTGGACAGAGCAAAACTGGTGGGTACGATGAAGAATTTTCTACTACGTCTACTAGCTCTACTACGTCTCGAGCCCCACCATCGATAAAGTTGAGAACTTCCGGTCGTTCACGACTTGATCCGCATCCACTTCCTGAAGTTTCACTCTGGTATCACCAATCCTTAGGTCCTCAAACCCTCTGTACCATCTTCCATCCCCCAAAATTCTCCACGTCGCTTTAAGCGACGTTAGCCCAGGCCGCTCGCCCACTTATTCCTCAGTAGTGAGAGTGCCAGCCTAGGCTGGTTTCTCAAGACGTTTGTCCTCCAGGAGGAATGCTGGCCGTAGTGCCAGTGATAAAAAGAAATTCCACATAATAAATTTTTAAAATATGCAATTTTATTCATTTCTAGGAAGTTTTATTGACTTTTTCCATTAAATTTTCTTAAATTGAAAAGGTTATTATATTAGTAAAAGTTTCGTTATAAACATAACTCTTTAAAAGTATAAATTCTCATATTAATATGTTTTAAAATGTTTTAAAAATATCTAGAACTAGAGTATTTTTCTTTTTAATATTTGCCACATTGTGAGATTTCCTCTTGGGTTCTGGTAAATGATGAACATTGAAGACAGGCCGAAGTAAGTGATCGACCAAACTACAGATTGTTATAATAACAATGTCAGGTTTTATTCAATAATAATAATTATAAGAAGTACAAATAATGTTCGACTGGCTGTTTTTTTTTAATAAATGATTTATGTACAGTGTTCAAATTAAAAAATAAAGTAAATAAATATGTGGCAATGAGTGAAATATATACATTTTTTGTTTAAATATAAACTATATAAAAATAGCTTCAAATGTTTTAAAATGCTTTGAATTGAATATTGATCAGAGAGGTATTTCTCTAAAATGAACTTAAGTTATGACACAAATAATTCAAGCTCTTTTTTTTCTTTTTAAAAAATAAAAGTCTATTTTGTAATTATGAATTGTTTTAAAAATTTGTCATGAAAATACGCGGTTTCGGTCAGAAGATACGTATTTCCGTGGTCTACATCATCATTAAAATTTGATTTGTTCGATTGTACGAATTGCCGATTTTGGAAACGAGTTTTGAGATGAAACAGGAGCAGGAACGTATCCACAGTTAAAACTTTTACGGTTTCCACTTATGTTCGAAACGTCGGCATTAACCGTTCCCACAGAAGTAAGGGCTCTCTTGGACTATCTTATCTTGGTAAAGAGGAGTCGGATAGCTGAGCCGAAGTGCCTTTAAAGGGACTTGAAGACATTGAATATTCGACGCCGTTGAAGACTAGCGCTTGCTTTCTCTCTCCCCTTCACGCCTCACTCTATACTTAGTTTATTTCTGTTGGCAAGTAATGTGTCGTGTCTGTTTTCTTACTACATGTGTTCCTGTTGGTGTAAATCATACAGGAGCTTTACTTCCTCCTCCAATGTTTTATTTATTGTATATGAAATATAGGCATAACTATGTTGGGCGTAGAATTGAACAAAACATTTATTTCTTAGGAGATGTGCAAATTATGTATAATAAGGTAAAAAATTGTAGGCAAATTTAAAAAATAGTTCTGTCATGGAATTGTAAACATCAAAGATCAATTTTTTTTAAAAAGGCCTAGTTTTAAAAGTCATTAGAGTTAACAAACGTTCAGGTATTTATTAAAAAATTACTTACTCGTCCTGCACGGTGAAAACTCCAGGATTTCAGTGAAGTTTTTCCTTCCCGTGTAGCAGGTCCCGACGGGGTCCCTCCTGTTCTTCTGCGTCGTGTACCAGACGTACCTAGGAGCGCAGGCCTGAAACAAAAACGACCAAGGTGAATTTTTAATTTTCTCATCGTGAAAGATTTCCGATCTATCCACCTGTCCCAGATGACGGATGGTCCGTGGGTTCACGGCAGCGTTATTAATCACTATACGAAACTACTTCCAGGATTACATTTCATTCCGCGTAATCTACACCGTTACGGTTTTTCGATTATTTGATAAAGGTCTAATTGCTTTTTCGGCGAGTTTGCCGTTTTTTGTTTTAGTCAGGTCAGATGAATTTTCCTGGTCACAAAAAACCAAGCTTTGTATGTAATATTTTAAAAATAATCTTCCAAATCAGGCTTCAATCAAGGATTTAGTAAAAACCACTTCGATTTTTTTTTGTATAATTTCAAAAAGTTACGTTATGTAATGAAAGTTCGAAAGTTAAATGACACTAATTTTTTTAAAATATTATTTTTGCGTGAACATACAAGGCAAAGGACTAGACACCTTTCGATTCACGTTTCATCCGTAGATTATTACAATTTATTGCTGGCACTTGCAGGTTTAAAAATAATAAAATAATCTCGTGGTCGATGTTAAAGTTTTGACAAACTAGATCAATTTCGTGTGGGTTCAATATGTATGACAACTAGACTTGTTGGACTTAAATGAAGCTGTTTTTTTTTTTTGTTATAAAAGGTTGAAAAATATTATTGTATGTTTTTGTTGTAGGATATGAAAATAATCGTAGTATTTTATTGAAAGAGATGAGATACATGAAAACTGATTTTACTGTATTTTTAATTGTATTTAGTTCTTATGTCTTTTTTTGTGTTTTGAGATTGAGTGTATTTATTGGCTTGAGTGTGAGATGGACGAGGGTGGAGTATTGACTACCCTGTCGACCCTCAATTAGATTAGTTACAACGGATATTCTATCAGCAGACGTCAATATTTCAAGAGTTTTTTCTGCTTATCAAACTAGACTAAAAAGTCTCTGTTCTATAAAGTCTGATTCCCAATTATATTCGAGATATTTTACTTTTCAGGTTACTACACCCTCGCACAACTTTATTCCATAAAGTTTTTTTTTCATAAAATGTTAACCATACTGTAAAATTGGTCACATCGTAGAGAGATCAGTAGAAACCCTGTGAAATTTCATTTATTTCTTTAAATTGTAGCCTTAAGCAAACGAAAATAAAATTACATGATGATCAACTGTTACGAGTTTCCAAAATTCTTATCTAAAGTTTAAGTAAGATTTTCTTGGTTAGGTGAATGCTGAAAGATATGGCATTTACAGAAAAGTTTTCTTAGCAATATTCTGTAAATACGTGTACTTAATTTTTCAATGATCAGTTATCACACAGAATTGATTTTTCGTTTACAAACGGTTTAAAAAACTAGTCATTAAGATTTTGAAACTTCTTTAAAAAAGTAATGAAAGTAATACAAATTAAACAAAAGACCCTGATACAAACGTAAGGAAAACCAAAAAAGATTCTAAAAAATTAAATTAAATTTTCAATATCCATCTTCTTGAAGAAAACAAGTCTGATATCGTTTCGTGACATTTTACTGCATTATTTTGTATTTTATTATTTTCTATTTAATAATAAAATAATATAAAAAATAACAAACCGCGTAGGTTTTTCAGTTCTCTTTTTATTAGTGTAATAGAATTTATAATAGGATTATAATTTTATGAGTGGAGATAATCAATAAAATAATGTGAACCGTGTAACAATCAAAATTTTAAATTCAGCGTTTTGTTTGAAAGTTATTTTTGATCGATTTGATTGATGTAACGAAATTTCTACTATAGGCAGTCATAAGTGTTATAAAAAATGACCTGAAGTTTTGAACAGGTGTATTTTTGAAAGTAAACCAACCGGAAAACGAACGGTTTTTGTGAGGATCGGTTTTTTTAAATTAAATTTTTAGTTACAATCGTTACAATCGCGTGGGACGAAATAGGTTCTTATAAAGCTTGCATCAAAATAAATTTAATAATAAAATAAATTTAATAATCAATCAATCAATAATCAAAATAAATTTAATAAATAAAAGGAATACTTTAAGCCCAAATATTCATGTAATACGACCGTAACAAACATTTAGTATTGTTATACAAGGCAAAAAGTCCCCCTAAATGATTCAATTCGCGTTCGGACTTGATATTCGCAAAAAGATATCGCCCTGAGTAGCACCGAAATGTTAAACAGGACGATTCACGTTAAGACAGTTTTTCAAATATTTTAATGCGCAGATCGAGATATGAACGCGAGTAAACCGATTCCTTCGAGTAGAGTCCAAAGAATGCGTCCTCATCCCTTCTGAAAGCGATACCATCGATACGTGGACTGCATTCGAAGCTCTACACGTGGATCTCACCTGTTTTACGACCTTCGTCCGCTTGGCGTCAAAAGTACCGAACATGTCACCCAATACTCTTAGAAGGAAAAAAAATAAGCCGAGTTGATACCATCGTTGTAATAACGAAACGTTTTATCCAGCATGTTCGAATTACATAATTAAGGTAGTTTAGTTTCAGAAACATGACTTCTAGACTAATTTATCAGTAGATCGTTCATAATTTTTTTTCATAGTTAATAAAATGTAAATCTTATGGGTAAAATGGAGTATGTTAAACCAATGGCCTAATTTTCAATTAACTAATAAAGAACGCGTGGAAAATACTCTTGATGGCCAGCATGAATACATAGACTCTAAAGATTAAAAAAAGGGGTCCAATTAAGGGCGTATAATGGCAGGACGGCTGCCGGTATAGAGACTTCAAATGGATCAAAACCGAGGCAAGTATTCAAACGCTGACGTCCATCAATCAGAGAGTCACTCGTCTGGACAGATTCAATTTTCACCCGGGCTAATGAGTCGACACATTCTTCGGTCAAGGCCGACGGAAAGTGTGAAGTTCGGTTAAGTTTGAAGTTTCTAAGTACCGAACGGAAAAGGTGATGTGGCTTCTATTTTAATGCAGACTTTGTCTGCCTGGGTGTAGTCCTTATGAACCCATCATCTATTTATGACCTAAAGATTGATAATACTGTGTGGTGTTTAGTGACCGTTAGTCAATGAATATTCGGAGATCGTGAGATGCAGTCTGGTGTGACATAAGTTTTAGAAAATTTTCTTTATCGTGCCAATGTTTCGATCTTTAGTAATTCAGATATCGTGAGATGCGGTCGGGTGTGATGTAGGTTTCAGAAAAACATTTTCTTTATCGTGCCAACGTTTCGATCTTTTATTGAATCATCTTCAGGGCTCAAAGTGTTTGTCTTCTGTGTAATTGTGCCATCCTTGCAATTAATTGTGCACTGGCACTCTCAACACGACACGCAAGGATGACACAATTACACAGAAGATAACACTTTGAGCCCTGAAGATGATCTCAATAAAAGATCGAAACGTTGGCACGATAAAGAAAATGTTTTTCTGAAACCTACATCACACCCGACCGCATCTCACGNTTTTATAATTTTTTTTTTTAATTTAAAAATTTTCTAGCGTAAAAATATTTATTTTTATTTATTTATTTTTTAATCTAAAATTTCTAGCATTGTATAAATTCATTTTTTCACATGTATTTGTAAAATTTAAACAATGTTTATAAATCCCAGGCCCTGAAGATGATCTCAATAACGACCGAAATGTCGTACGATAAAGAAAATGTTTTTCTAAAACCTACGCCACACCAGACCTCACTATCTCCGAATAATCATTGATAATGCTGTCGAAGTCTCAAGTATTCTTTTAGATCCATTTTGGTCTGTTTGAGTTTAACTATTAAGTAACTAAATAAAAATAATTCTTTAATTTGTCATAATTATAGTATTTGGAAAGCAAAAACTAATCTGAAACCAAAAGCCGTTGGCAATATCGCGCCACTAAATTAGTGTAATTAATGTTTCAACGAAGTTCACTGTTAAATATAATTTTAATTGTTGTTAAATTTTAACGCTTTTTAAAAATAATTTTTACTGTGACTTGGTTGATCTTGATTATTTTATTAGGCATGTCCTCCGTTTTTTGGTCTGTCAGGCGTCTTGAGGCATTTCACCATCAATGGTTGGTTTATGGGTGAGTCAACCGTTGGTCAAAATATACACACACTCTCTCTCACTTTTTTTTTCTTTTATTGGTCCTCAGAAATAAAATGTTTTCACGACAAAGGTCAATAATAATAATCATGCATAATAGGTCAAATATCCCCCTCGCACTCATTCTCTCCACCCTATCATTTTTTTCGACCTGTCCACCCTGTTTTGGTCTGTCAGTCGGCTTTAGGCATTTCGCCATCTTCAATGTTTGGTATATGGGTTGTTTATTCTAACGTCAAAATGACACTCCAACTCTCTCTCACTCTCTCTTTCTTTTCATTCCTTCCTTCTCTCACACACACACACTCTCTCTCTTTCAGTCTTTCTTTGTCGCTCTTTTTTCTCTCTCACTTTTTTCTCTTCCTTTCTTTTTTTCTTTATTTCTCTCTCCCTCCATTTCTCTATCTTTCGCTTTCTTTATCCCTCTCTCTTTCTTTTTTTTGTTAGGCCTCAGAAGTAAGAATGACATTCCAACCCTCTGTGAGGAGTAATTTGATATTTTTCCATCAGAAATTCAAAATATAAAACACACATACTAACCACTGAAGATTTAAAAAATAGCAAGTACGTCTGACCGAAATCACGAGTAGGCAGACTAAATATATATCTCTATCCGCATATCTCAAAGGACAGGTCATATTTTTCAAATTACCAAGCTTCTTTTTGTCTAAATTCTGGCCAATATATTGCTTTAATGTTACATTTTTTGGTAATTTATTACTGACACAAATCACTCACAATCAATCATTATTTCACTGATAGGCTTTATCATTCCACAACTCAAAAATCCTAAAATTTCTTCAAAGGTTTTCAAGGGAAACATAACGATTCCTCCGCTAAAACAATTAAGAGGAACTAATGTTTCAAAAATTGTTATCAAACTTAACATTTATCCCGTTCAAAAAATCGAGGACACCA